CAATTCACAACATAAAAATGATGATATTTCTGATCACATTGATTTACAGATGGTTTTTCATTGTTCGTTTCCAGTTTTGTGATAACTCACCAACCAGCTTGTTTGAAAATCTGGCTGTTACTGCACGATTTTACTGGATTTTTATTATGACTTGTGTGGACATAGTACTGATAAAAGTTAGCAGTAGGTTAAACATATCCTTTCCAGACCAAAGCTGGATATTCCGATGCAATAGTGCTCACACGTGTCCCAAAATAACCTGTTTTTCTGTTCCAGCTATTTCAAAAGTGTTGATATGATTTCCTACTTTAGAGCCAGAAGTAATCATCACCGATAGCAGGGATGTAAAAGTACAGCCGAACAGCATCTTTTTCTGTATCACTGTTTTTTTTTTTTTTTTACATGGAAAATGCGTTAATGGAAACCAATCACAAACATTACACCCGTCAGATGCTGCTTTCTTTAAACTGTTATGCCTTAATTTATGTTTCTTTCTTCCACTATTTATCTCCGTGCCTCTCTGCCCTTGTCTATCTCCATAAAAAGGCATACGGCTATACAAATCTGGGCAGGTTGCCTTCTGAAGCGTGGACGCACAATTTACAGTGTATACATTTAAAGAATTTACAATCAGCTGTTCAATTAAAACAAATATTTGGCTTGTAATTCCCTTGATTTACATTGACTGCATATTAAAACGTGTCTGTTAGAATTCCAGCTACAGTTGCAGAATAAGTTATTTGATCGTTACCAAGATGAAAGAAAACTTAGATCTAGAATTGTAGGATAATTTATCTTGTTTTTTATCTTCTTAAGAGTTCATTTCTTATTTTGACTTTTATCGCTATAGTTTAGAGTCAAAGCTATATATTACTTTATTCGCTGGGAAGAAATAAACTTTTACATTTGTCTTAATGTCCCTAAATTAGGATTGCAGCGTTATAAAAGTACAAACAATGGAAAACTTATTGTTTTTGGTTTGGCGAAATAAATAATAAACATGAAGATGTGGTCAAACATAATCTGGTAGTGAATCATTTAAGAGTTGCCCAATGGACACCCACACTCAAGTCTGTTTAAAGTTCACGAAAAAAGCAGTTTTTTCTTGTCAAATTTCCCAATGTCAATATAAGTACAAGCATCATTCTGGGAGCTTATTTCTGCAAAAGAGACATTGACATTATCTATAACAGTTATCAAAATACAAGATAAAATGTTGGAATTTTGTCAATCATGTGTAATGAATGTATATATTGTGTTTTTAACTTTAGATATAGATATATGTGATGGTTTCGCTTTTTTCACCCTATTTACGACTGAATGAGCAGTTTTCCTATTTGCGCTGACAGCAAAGTTTTGAACAACTGACTTTTGATACTCGCAGACAGAAACAAAGCAAAAGAACCAACAGGCAGCATTACCCAAGTTGGGATATATTTCTAATTTTTGTTTGCCATAGATTTTGCTGTTACTATCAAACACAAACTCAAATGTCTGTTCTTGGACTTTCTCTTCAGTCTTTTTTAAAATTCCTCTTTTCAGTTTCAGTATTTCTCCCTTCACTAGTGTAGAAGTATACCTCTGTTTCATTGATGTTGTCTACCTTATGTTTGATTGGATCTGATTCTGTAGAAATTTCCTCTCCAGCTGTGTTGGACCTAAAGAAATTGTTTGGACACTAGTGATCAACCCTAAAAACACTAGACGTCATCTAGACATTGTTTTTATGGCTAAATCTGGTCATCCCGCCAAAGTCTTGATTTAGTCCAGATACAGTTTTTGAAAATATGGTCGTGTTTAGCCCGTACAATGTGGTTTAAATTTAGTCCGATAATAGTCTTTGAAAGTTGGGCTATCAACGTCTTTTCAACAAAATGAACGTTACAGCATTTCACCCGTCACTTCTCAACCAAATGTAATCTTTTTTTGGGATGCATACCATGATGTCTTTTCAGCCAGTTTATAACGCACAAAGAAGAATAAAAGAGTGCAATTCTATTGTCATTGCATTGTCACAAGTACAAAGCAATGAAATTCACTCTCTGCATCTAACCCATCCTATTGGGGAGCAGTGGGCTGCCATTGTGCGTCGCCCGGGGAGCAGTGTGGGGGTTTAGGTTTCTCGGGGACCCAGAGTGGCAGTCTGTTGGAGCGGGGCTTGAACTCAGAACCTCTAGGACCTCTGCCACAACTCCCCTAACTCTCCCAAAGATTGCATACCTTCATAGAATAATGTACTATGCAGGCATTAAGCATGCACTGGGCATTTACTAATTTTAATACTCTTAAAAAACAGATTCGTAACACAGCAATTACTGCACTTAACCACCTTCCTTGTGCAAATTGACACTTTCTTGCACAAATATTTCCCCTAAATTCATAAACAACCTCTTCTGCAGGTATTGTGGCTTACCATCCTTATCAAACATTTCAACAACTATCGGCTTTATGCTCCATCCATTTTCCCCAACATTCTTATAATATCTTATTTAATATAGTTTTGAAAACCTAGATGTTGGAATTGTATTAATTATAAGCCTTAAACATTGTAGCATATGTATTTATGGTATTTCGGGAATTTAGAATAATACCAAAAGGTGAAGCTCACAACTATTTGGACTTCGTTTACATTTCTTATCCTATAAAGACAATTTATCCTTTTTTTCCAAGAAAATGGAGATCTAAATAGTGCAGGTAGAGATAAGTAGCGCTGGATTGGCACACTCATTCCTAAGCTATCACTTGGATGTGGACCAATGTTTCCCCCGATCAGCAGACAGCATTACAGCAAATAGAACGAGCCTCCGCTAGAGCTGAAAAACAATGCTGGTATGCAGATTACAGCCGAGGCGTCTGGCACCTCGTGCTAGTATGGCTGCGGCAAAGAATGTTTCTCTTAAAAACTCAATGCATGTCCTAATTGGACTAAAGTATCTCAGTTCTGTCCTCATTGACCAATACTTTTCAGATTCTTAGATTATCCCTCGTGTAATACATTTTTCTCCATGCCCAACAGTGTGAGACACATCCCAGCACACCAACAGCAACATCTTAGGTCTGGATTTTTATGAAAACCCTGAGGTGCAATAACTTTGCAGTCCAGATTGGACTAATGACTTCACACTGACGGCCTCATGCGAGCCTTGGTGGGCCTTATCGGGGGGCGCATGGAAAATACACTTAAAGTGGTGGGAAGTTCTCTGCAAATCCAGAGTTGATGCATGTGTATGTGTGAGTGTGTAAACAAGCAAGAGAGTTGCACCACGAGGAGCAGAGCAGGGAATGAAGCTAATACGGATGGGAGAGCTATTCAAGAGCAGTGTGGTTTTTGATCCCGCGACCTCTCCCAGCCGTGAGAACCTTCTTCAGAGTAAATGAGCGCTGCACGTACACCCGCATGCATCACGCTCGGCGCAAAGACAATAAAACTTAAGAGGAGAATGAAAATATCCCCCCATTCTTTTTTCTTAGGGAGTAATATCGCCATACCTTTCCACCAGTACAAGTGAACTCATGCCAAGTATGTAGCCTGCAAAGCACCCCCCTCCTACTTCACTTAAAATAAGTCAACCAAGTATGTTTTGGTTAGGATTTCATACCTGCCTGCTCTTCATTCACACTCAGTTTGAAGTTCTTGGGAAGACAAAAGGTTCCCCCGAGCCAATGATGGCAGCAGCAGGGGAGAAACTAGCTGCACTTCATTGCACCTTTTGTTGGAATTATTTAATCCTTAAAAGCTCCTGGGATAAAACTTCCTTTGCTTTCGCTTGGGTACCATGCCTTGCACTACATCTTCACATTTTTTCCCTTCACAGGCATAAATTTTATATATTCAATTTATGCAAATATACATCTAGAAAGTGTGGAGAGCTTCTTTGGTTCCACCTGTTTTACTCCGTTACTCCTTAATAAACTTGTCATTTTTTTTCTAACTTTTCTAGTATAAATTGCTGCAACTCTGATCTACTTTTCATTTTCCCTGTTAAACAGAAGCATACCAGCACCATGATGCTGCCCAGACACCTAACTAATAAAAAATATCAACCTGTAAAATGTAATCTCATTATACATCTAGCCATTAAAGAACATTAGCTAAGAAAATGGCATTGAAAAGATGAAGACACAAAGCATATAAGTTAGGGAGAAAAGTTTTGGAGCAATTTAATGCAAGTTTAGTTTAATATATGCCGAAGGTTAGGATAAAACAGATGTTTTATTTGATCAATTGCTGAAAAAAAGAGTATTGCACAAATACCATCTTACTATGTTCCTAAATAAATCATTTTAATGCATATGCAGGGTGCATTGCTGTGTAATTATGTCCAAATCAGGAGAATCCGTTACCAGGTACCTGGAGAGCTTGACCTCCTTTTCTAATCAGTTATTTTTAAATTAGAAAGCATCTTAAACATGTGAGCCTTTAACTGTGGAGGACTCCCCAGACCTAAAAGGTTAGAAGAGGATAGCAATGATGGCAGAAGCACCCAGGAGGTTTATGGTAACTTTGGAGGAGCAGCGGAGATTCACCGCTCAGGTGGGATTTTGGCTTTGATTGGAAAACTAGAAGCTGTGCAATCCACAATACATGGCTTCATGTGTAACGATGATTTTAAAGGTTTCCAGAAGCACTATAGTGGGGGACACAGCAAACATGGAAGGGATGCACTGGTCAGATGAAGAAAATTAAAAACTATAAATGCCTTTCAAATGAAATGCACAGTTCTCACAGTAAAGCATGGTGGTAGCAGCAAGATGCTAAGGGAATGTTTTTTTCTTTTAGAGGAGAAGTGAAGATAAGCTTGTCATGAAGGGTGCATTCATAAAAGCCGAAATAATACCACATTTTACAGATAAATAAAGTTTTCAGTGTAGTATGTGTGAAAGGGATAAAAGGAAAAAAAAGTGACAAATGTGGAAAAATTAAAGGAGAAACATATTGTTCCTTTGCATTTTACTGTATAAATAACCAAGTTTAAGTTTCACCATCTTGGTGTGTTTACCTCTGATTTCCACACAATATAGGCGTGAGGGCAGGATGGCTGCACTTTCCGTTGGAGCCACCTCCGCGGCGAGAAGAGCGCGCCGGTGCTCCCCGAAGGCGCAGCGCTGGATCCCCTCACCATAAACGGTAAATCCCCCGCGGTATTCCTTTTTGGGCGCTTGGCGATCTCGTAGTCGAAGTGGAAATTAGAGGATGGAGAAACGCATGTAGGTATCGAAGGAGAGGAGAGCGATGGTGTGATGGGTTCTTTCAGATTGGGGATCTTGGTGCGTAAAGCCAGCTTGGCATTCTGTGGCGCACCTGCGTCCGCAGCCGTAAACTGCCCATCGGTCCCGGTGCCGCAGTGCCGGATGATTGCAGGGTCCAGGCTGCGGGTTTGGCGCAGTCTCCTCTTGGCTATGGCTTTGGAAGCAGGGGATGAGCAGGAAAAGACGCTGTTCAGGAGTCCCTGCGCGGCTGACATGTCTCCCAAACTTTGGATCAGCCTCAACAACCTTCTAAAGCCTCCTCTGCAAAGGAAAAGGTTTTTAAACCTGCTCCATTAATAAGATAAAAGCTAATGAGGAGCTGGAGGCGATGCGTAAAGGGTGATCAACTTCTCCTCTCCTTTTTGCCTCGTTTTAGGAATGGGCGTGAGTATGTAGAGGGAGGTGGTAAAAAAAAAAAAAAAAAAAAAAACACAGTATATCTGCCAGCTTAAACCTTACTTCTGCAGTTGTAATTAAATAAATAATCTGATCGAAACCATTATCCACTGAAATCGGTCCATTAAATAATAAAATCTATATTATAACATATCTGGAGCTGATATAAAGCACTTTAGCTATAGAATTCATCAGCTGTCAGACAGGCAGTAAGTCGTGCACAGATGAAAATAGGAGTATTAATCCTCCTCTGTCAATAATCCACCTGTCTGGCAATAATAGGCCTATCAGGGGAAGCCTTCCTCCTTCTATTATTAGCCAGACAATATGTGTGCTATGGGATTATTGACTTCTACCTTTTTTATGTTGCATTTATGCTTTGTATGCATTGTAACCACAGTATTTAATTATTAGATGTTTGGTGGAGACCAAAACAGAAGTAAATGTGAATTGAAAAGTAATTTGGACATGATTTTTATTCTTTTATTTTATGAGTGAAAACATTTTGAAGAGTGGCAAACATTTGTATCCTCTGAGGTTCAAACTTTTGGCAGAGGTGCCTTACAGAATTTTACTACTCTGCAGAGTTTTTTGAATGTTTCTATGGAAGAGGATTAGGGCCACTGAAAAAATTTTTAAAAAGAATTCTGACTTTTTTCTCAGAATACTGACTTTAATCTCAGAATTCTGATTTTTTTCTCAGAATTCTGACTTTTTTCTCGTAATTCTAACTTTAATCTCAGAATTCTGACTTTTTTTTCAGAATTCTGACATTTTTATCGTAGAATTCTGATTTTTTTTCTCAGAATTCTGACTTTTTTTCTCGTAATTCTAACTTTAATCTTTGACTTTAATCTCAGAATTCTGACTATTTCCTCATAATTTCTGACTTTAATCTTATAATTTGGGCTTTTTTCCTCAGAATTCTGACGTTTTTTTTCTCAGAATTCAGATTTTAATCTCAGAATTTTGACTTTGTTTCAGAATACTGACTTTAATCTCAGAATTCTGACTATTTTCTATAGTTTCTGACTTTAATCTCAGAATTTTGGCTTTTTCCCTCAGAATTCTGACATTTTTTTCTCAGAATTCTGACCTTAATCTCAGAATACTGACATTTTTTTCTCAGAACTCTGACTTTTTTTTTTCCTTTTCCGTATGTTTCCCTTCTCCAGCCCACCTCAAACTATCACCTGAGGGTGAGTTGCATCCAAAATCTGCAGTGTAGTAGCCACGTGTTTAGTTCCATTCATTTTCCCATCTGCTCTACCTGAGTGTTTGAAAACGCCTCCTCACAACAAGACAACATTTAAAGAAACACCATTTACATTTTTTCTACAAAAAAAAAAAAAAATGCTTTTCAAAGTAAAATGCTGGGGAAAGTTCTCAGTCATCCAGGTCATAGTCATTCCAAACAAAATTTAAAGCAATCCGCAGGACTTGGTTTCTGAGTTTGATGTTTTGCTTCCCATCCATGAAGCTTTTTCAATTCAGAATGTCAGGAATAGTGTTGAGTTCGAGTAGCCCAACAAAGCCTTGTTTTTAAACAAAGCCTTGATTGGAAAAAAATCAAAACGTTCCAATTTGCATGTTTTCAAAACAAAAGCAAGCCTTTGTTGGACATTTTGAATAGAAAAAAAGCTTCCTGGATGGGAAGCTAAATGTCTTCAAACTTGAAAACCAAGTCCAATACATCGCTTTTACTTTTTTTTTTTTTTAAGTAAACTACATTCCTAATAAATACATTTGTTGTAGTAACATGATGAAATACGACTTCAAGTATAAATACTTTTGAAAGGCACTGCGGTAATGAACTGTGTGCCAGATGTTGCACAAAAGAGTTCATCAGCTTTAGTTTGTTAAAGTGAAATGGTACATGAAAAAGAAAGATTATATAGGTGTAGGGAAGCATGTGTGGCATGTGTGAAAAATGCTAAAAATGAGAAGAGACAGTAGGAGGCCCCCCCTGAGTTCAGGGCCCACTGATTAGTGGGCTCATGAAGCAGCACCACATGACACACGCGCATGCAAATAACACAGCATGACAAGACACTGATAACAACAGAGATAAATTTGACCCTTCTAAAAACAGTGTGTGGGAGGAGGTGAAATGCAGAAGCTGCAGATCTAGATCAACATTCTCTTGCATGGCATCAGAAAGAAAATAAGTTGGGGAAATATTTACCCCAGTTATCTTGCTCCTATATAAAGAGGGAGAGAAGAAACTGCAGTTAAAAAAAACATAAACCAACATCTAATGTCATCTTAAAGCAAAAAGATTATAAATTGTATTCAGTAGAATCAGGTCCATTCATATATTACAGTTCAGTCGTTTTAAAGTAATTTTAAAGGGCAAAAACAGTATGACTGAACAACATGTATATTAAAAACTCGGATACAGAAAGATCATATAGAAAAAGCAATGTTTTACACATTTATTGGGAGAAAAACATTGCAATAGGGTTAAGGTTCTTTTTTCTTTTGATATTGTCCACACGCTTTTCCGTAAAATACTGTCATCTGCTGGTTGGATTTTGAAATTTCAGTGGAGAGAAGGTTTTCCATGCTGCGTTCGCTTCTGCACGGATTTTTATGAGACATATACTAACGGCTGCGATAGTGACCGCTTCTGAGTTCAGTGCCTTATTAAAAAAAGCAAAAGCGAACTTATATTTGCATCTTTATTCATAAAAGGCATGTAAGTTGGCACATTATTTCAAATATTTGCGGTAACAATTGTAAGTGTAAGAATTCCGAAATGTCCGTGATGTAGCAGTAAAGCTTCACCCAGTATTCCACAACAGCGCCATCTTTCCAGAGGTTTGAAACTCCCTCGTAGGAAAGGAAAAGAAAGGGTTAAGGACGTTCAAGGATCCGATCGATGCCTTCTCTCTCACACGTCGCCATGAACAAATGAATTCGCGGGGAATTAAATACCAGTTTCACAAAGGAGAACGAGTCTTGTGCTTTGAACCCGACCCAACCAAGGCTAAAGTCTTGTATGACGCTAAGGTAAGGTTTTAACTAAGTGGATGCTTAAATCCTCTATAGATGGGTGATTTGCAGAAGAAACAAGGGGCTGTTTCGATAGGGTATCGGACCACGAGTGACCACAAAGGCGAATTAGGCCATAATAAGAAAAAACAGTCAGTTTAATATAACCGTTTCTCAATTACTTCTCTAGCTTCCGGGTGCGTTCGATTACGTTTATGGCTAAAGGATGTGTTTGCCGAAAAATAAGTAAACATAACAGTTTTTCATCGTTATTAGTCCAACTGACCATAATCTCCAACCATAAATTGTCCTAACACATTAACCGAGGTCTCTTTTTAATGAAAACCAGAATCGATACTTTAAATAACATAATGTGCACGGTGTTTTTACTTCTATTAAACGCCAGCAGATAATAAACAAACCCACCACGACTCGAAGCTAAATTCGATGTTAGCATTTTATTTTATTTTTTTTAGGTAGCTGCAAACGCTCATACTGTATTGCTGTAGTAGTGTAGTTGATATTTTTTAAATGTAACCTTATAGTTGTTTAAGAATAAGACAGGTTTATTGATATTTGTTTAACGGAAGGAGCTTAATCTCGCCTTTTGCTTAACTGAGCTAAAGTAGCTATCAGTTAGCATCAATTGCTAGCAGTCAATGAGTTAATGCAGCCTACAGCTTATTTATCATTTCATTCTGTTTAATATAGATACATTGATTGGGTTTAATGACAGAAATAGAAGCAATATTCTTAAATATCCTCCAGCGTTTATATGTTTATATATAGAATAGAATAGAAAATCCCTTTATTGTCCCACAATGAGGAAATTTTGGTGTTTACAGCAGCAAAAAGGTTATACAAAAAATTATGACCTTAGAAAAGTGGATAAGAATAGCATAATAGTGAGGAGTTAAAATTGAACAAATAAAATACTGTATTGTAAAGTGTTTATAACAATATGAAACTGAACCTGGGGAATAAAATAACCAATATACAGCTATGGCCAGTTTGACGGTAATGGATATTTGAAAACAACAGTAACATCAGAGATGTGCTAACATGTTTCTTTTTGTATACACTTGTGTGTACAACATGTCAAAATAAAATCAGTCTAAGTCTAAATGAGAGCAGCATGTTATTTATCTGACTAAAATCAGCATGAATGTTGCAACTTATTGAGGTTGTTGGGAACAGTGGTGGTTATAAAGTCCTACAGCTGCTGGCCTTCCTGATCAGCTTATCCAGCCACGTACTCACAGCTACAGACAAGCCACTGCTCCAACAGACAGCTCCATAGAAGATGGCTGATGCCACAACTGAGTCATAGAAGGTCTTTAGGAGCACCCCCTGCACTCCAAAAGAGTCTCCTCAGCAGGGAGAGTCTGCTCTGACACTTCTTATACAGAGCCTAGGTGTTGTGAGTCCAGTCCAATTTGTTATTCAGATGGTACTTATAAAAGTACACTATCTGAATGTCCGTTCCCTGGATGTTAACCAGTGTCAGTGGGGTGGATCTGCTTCTGTGAAAGTCCGCCAATAGCTCCTTGGTTTTCCCTGCATAAATCAGGAGGTGGTTCTGCTGGAACCAGACCACGAAGTTCTGGTGCATTGTCTGTATTCTGAGTCTTCCCCATCTGTCATGAATGTCTGCTGTGTCACGTCTGCTTGCTCGAGTGAGGCTTCACTTTTCACAAACAAGTTTGCACTTTTGAGACAGTTTTCTTCACATCTCAAGTTTAAACTGTCTAATTTACAAGTTTGCACTTTGTGTTTAATATGGCAGGAAAAAATAAAATACACTAGCATTTTTAAACAAGGTTGAGCCACTTTCATTATTGTAAAAACAGATCGAATCAAAATGAATCGATTTAGAACTGTATGAATCAAAATCGAATCGATTCACGACTTTGGCGAAAATACCCAGCACTATTTGGGAAAACCCCGAAACTACGACACTCCCTCTACAATCCATGACCTTCAAAATACGCTGCTCAAAAATAAAATAAAATAAAGGGAGCGCTCGAAATACACATCCTAGATCCGAATAATTGAATGTTGATGTCAATCAAATGCAATCAGTTTTGCTTCCTAAGTGGACAGTTTTAAAGTTATATTGTGTTGTCTACGTGCTCCCTTTATATTTTTGAGCTGTGAGCTATATCCCTGGAAAAGAAACTGAAAACAGCTTTGGAGAAAAGTATGCCTCCTTTTTGCATGTTTTTTATATATATTTTTTTTTTTTGCCAACAGCTGTACGACTATCTGAGCTTTAATTCTAACAGGAACCAACTCTGACTTTTCAAATTTCTCCCGCAGGTCCTTGATGTCTTGATCGGAACGGATGAACATGGGAGACGAGTCCCAAAGTACCTGATTCACTTCAGTGGTTGGAGCAGGAGGTGACAGTGCATCAAAATGTATTCGACATATCATAATTAGTATTTTTTTTTTTGTCTAAAAACTGTTTTCTGTCGTGTATGTATATATTTTTATTTATGGTCGCTTGGTGTAGCTGGGACCGCTGGGCTGCAGAGGACCATGTCCTAAGGGACACGGAGGAAAACCGCAAATTGCAACGTAAGCTGGCTCGCAAAGCTCTAGGGCGCATGTAAGTTTGTTTTTGTTTTTTTCTGCAGATCCAACTTTTCAGATATGTTTCTAGCTCCTGATTAGCTATGAAATAATCTAAAGGGTTGGTCAGATTGAATGGTTTCGTCCATCTGTGAGCGTTGGGTCTGATTTTTTTCTATTTGTTCTAACTGGTCTTGGTGAGAAGGAAGAGAAAGGGATGGACGAAGAGGCGTCGACGTCAGTCTGGTAACAAATCTTCTCTGAAGACTCTCCCTAAGGAGGAGGACAGCGATGACGCTTGTGAGAAACCTTCTGCCTCACCCGATTCTCTGCACCCCCCCTTCTCTGCAGTCATTTTAAAGCCTTTGTTTTGTTTTTGTTCCTTACAGGTTTGATTTCGACCTCGGACAGCAGTGACGGGGACGACTCGGACCCTGACTCTTCAAACAGTGGCGACAGCACCTTCTCAGAAGATATCAACAAAATGGTGACAAGTCCAAACAGCATTTTAAACTCCGTCTTTGAATTATAATTACTCACCTATTGATGATTTTCAAGGTTTTATGTGTTTTCTTTGATGTATGGAACGCTGTTTCATTCAAAAATAAAACCATCAAATACACAAATAAATAAATAAATGTAGCTTATAAATTTTTAAAAACATTCAATGGAAAACTGAATAAAAGGGTCAAAAAGGAAAACTCCATTATGAAGTGCATAAATAAATCTGGAGGTAAAGAAATAAGTCTTAATTGGAAGAAAATAAAAAAAAATTCTTTAAAAAATATGTATTTACTTTTACTTCATGGTTAGATATAGGCTAGACTAGGCTACTTCCACGCGCAATTAAAAAAAAAAAATTTTAAAGTGGGGAGGGCGGTTCTCTTAAAGCTACAGTGTGTAATTTTCAGCGACATCTAACGTCCAGGCTGCAGACTGCAGCAACATGAACATCTCCCCCCCACCGCTTCTCCCCCCCAACAGTACGGCGAGCGTTACGGGACAAAATGTCTTCCACGACGTCCGCATCACCTACCTTCTCAAGTGATGAGGTTTGTTTACATAGATAATTTTACAGATAGTATTTCATTAGTCTGTGTGTTCAGTACCGTCTCAGTTCATCTCTCTCAACTTGCCGTAGTTACTTTAGAGCGTAATGGGCGATCTCGCAATCGCTAGTTTGTTGGCTCTGCGCTGCTGTAGCGCAAAGATGTCTGCCTCCATGGCTGCGAGACCCGCTCCTATGTAATTATAAATAACGAATTCTAAGGCAACGCAAATATTAAGGTTAAGAGGCTGAGCTGATGATAAATAACATAGTTATGTATAATATATTACATTTCTGACTGTATATCCCTGTAATTATTACACACTGTAGCTTTAAAAAATACCTTTAATAGCATCTTTGTTCATGTATTTAATTATGAATGAAACAGGTTTCCGTATTGATGCTCTTATTTTCAATATGACAACATTCGTCGGGTTAATCATTTTATAAGGACAGTTCCTTACCAGATGGTTCGTGTTGTTTCAGAGGGTTGATTCAGACGTGAACGTGAAGAGGGAGTGCGAGGAGAAGGTCGTTCACGTGGACATCAACATCCCAGATGTTCTGAAGAAGAAACTCGAAGATGACTGCTTTTATATCAACAAGAGGAAGAAGGTACTGCTCCACTTCTCCTTTGTCTCCAGAAACCTTTTCTGTGCTGGCTGCCAGGATTGTTTTTTTTTTCTTTCTTTTTTTTTTTTGGTGCAGCTGGTCGTGGTCCCCTGTGAGACAAATGTCGTCCACATCCTGGAGTCCTACGTGAAGCACTTTGCTATCAACAAGGCCTTCATGGCCAATGAGCGCTACAGGCGTCAGCAGAATACCTTGCAGAGCAGCAGCCCGCAGCCGATCCCGCCGGAGAGGAGGTGAGGATCTGCAGCGGGAAATGTTTGGAAGCGACTGGAAGGAGCTGTCCTCGCTTATCTTCTTTTTTGTCGTTTTATGTTTTAATTTAGTGAGGAGCTTTGTAAGGAAATGGTTGATGGTCTGAGGATCACGTTCGACTTCACCTTACCCATGATCCTCCTCTACCCCTGCGAACAAGCTCAGTTTAAAAAAGTCAGCTCCTCTAGGCTCCTCCTCGCAGCCAATGAAACGTCTCCCAGCTCCAGCAGGTTGGCAGATTATGGAAGAACGTTTTTACTCTGAAGTTTATGCAGCAGACATCCAACTTTTTTTTTCCCTTTTTAATTTTTTTTAGTGCACAACGAGAACGTAGTCCAAGCCCACTGGCTCACAACCCCCCTACGCCTCAGTCCACAGACAGTCAGCCGGCGCTAAGCGACACCTCCGCCACCACGCCCACAGCTCCAGCCCCTACTGCAAAGCGTCGCCGCCACCCCGACATGGACTGCATCTCCTACCAGTCGCAATCCCTCAGACGGTCCACCAGGAACACGTCGGGAGGAGATCGACCCGCTGAAGGAAGCAGTGGAGGTGAGGGGAACCTGCGGAAACTGTTTCTCATTTTTCTGATCAAGATTTCAGATTTAAATTTTTTTTTATGTATTAATGCAACACTCTAACAGGTGGAGGGAGTGCGACGGCCTCTCCGCAGCTCAAGCGGCGTCAGGTCGACACGTCACAACCCAAGTTCTTCCTCAGCCTCGAAAAAAGTAAGATTTTGTTTTATACAAATAAACTTTTTTGATTTAGAGTGGAACAATCAGTTGCTAATTATTTGTAATAAAGAGTTTACAACCCTCAGAAGAACACCTTTCCTGAAGTTAAAACAGATGAGAATTTATTCATCTTTAGTTGAATTCTAAAATAGATCATGTATATTTTATGATGGGGGTGTACAGGTCTCTTGGTAACAGTAACCAGGGGTTGTAGTAAACAGTTTAGTCCAGTAGATGTCAGTATCCTCCATTAGTTTTCCCCCTCCAAGGAAAGCAGTGAAACATCTGTGCTAATGCAGTGGGGATTGCTGAAATCCAGATTTTCCCCCCCCTCCTCCGTTTACCCAGAAACACCGATCCACAGCGGCTCATCGTCCCCGTTGCCGTTGACGCCGAGCAAAGAGAGGAGCAGGCCGTTCTACGGCCTGGAGAGCCGGAGAAACAATGAGCTCAATGAGGTGATTAAACAAGAGTTGTTTTCTACAGTATGCCGTCCAGTTTCTAGTTAGTAGGACGGTCGGCCATATTTAACAGAGCTTAGAGTGAACTTCCTAATTTTCTATCATATGAGAAATTTCTGAAGATGGATCCCTCGTTTATTATAGGATGATCTCAAACAGAGAAATACAACCTGATTTGTCTTCTCAATTTAAATAACTCTCTCTGTACATACTTTTTTTTTTAATCGTTATTTTGCTACTTGGAATAATCAAATATGTTTCACTAATAACCACTGTTCCAAAAAAAAAAAAAAAACGTTCTATTTGAATCAGGTTCTGAGCTGGAAGCTGACACCTGATAACTACCCGCTTAACGACCAGCCTCCTCCGCCTTCTTACCTGTACGGATCCCAGCACCTCCTACGGCTTTTTGGTCTGTTTTCATCGTCACAGCATCATCTGTCTGACTCCCCGACTGTTTCAGAGACAAAATATTCAAATCCTGTTTTTATTTCTTTATTTTTCTGTCCATCCAGTGAAGCTGCCAGAGATCCTGGGCAAAATGCAGATCCCTGAACGGAATCTCAGAGCCCTAATCAAACATCTGGAGCTCTTCCTGAGGTATTGATCATCTTCTAGAATAAACAGTAGAATCACGGTGAGATGATTGAAATGTTTTAGAGGAACATTAGAGTAAGGGCGTAGCTTTAGATTGAAATCCCAGGAGATTTGATTTGAAGTGTTTAGTTTAGAAAAAAAGCCTTACTCTAGGAAGTCTCCTTTACAGGAGGTAGTTGCAGTACCATTGTGAAGGAGGTGCCAGAGATCCATAATATTCTATCCAAAACAGGGGAGGAGTCTGTCGATGTGCATGCTGTAGGTTTGAAGGAGAACTCCCGTTAGAGGGAGGGAGATGAGTGGGCGTTACACAAGCACGGGAGTCTAATCTTTAAATCCTCACTAGCAATCTTTAGGGATTTAGGTCTTTTATTCTCTAATCAAACCCAAACAATACCCTCTCCTGTCAGCAGGCGGCGGTATAGAGCCAAATATTTGCCTCCTTGTTATCCCATCATCATCTGATACCATTTTTATTTATTTCTTCGCCTTCCATGTTCCACAAACAGTTGCAGAATTGGTTGTGGCTTTCTTCTATGCATGTGGAATACAGATAACTGAGGCCTGAGCAGTTTCCCATGGGTACATGGTCTTTTGCAGCATCTCTGACTGGATCAGTCAACTGCACGATAAACACAGTCAACCAGATCTTAAAGACGAATGGATTGTTACCCATACTGTGTCTAATCATCAATCATATTATCCTTTTTTTATTTTAGGTGTTTAATAGATTGAAATTAAATAGAAAAAAAAAACTTTGGAAAACATCTTTTTATATGGATCTTTTAAGTGTAAAAAAAAATAGCAAGTTTTATTTTAAACATATAAAATTGTTAAAAATTAATAAATTTATATTTAAAAAAAAAGTATTTATCTTATTTGTATATTTTAAGTATATAAAAAAGTAAACAATCATAAATTGTGTTTTAAATGTCTAAAATAGTAAAAAATAATATATATAAAAAAAATTTTTATCTTTTTATCTGTATAATTTAAGTAATATAAAAGTAAGTAAGTAAATCATAAATGGTCTTTTAAATGTCTAAAATTGTTAAAAATTAATATATTTATGTTATAAATATTTTTTTATTTATCGTATTTGTATATATTAAGTATATAAAAAATATAAACAATCATAAATAGTCTTTTAACTGTAGAAATCTGTTAAAAGTCATTTATTTTTTTTTTTATTTATCTTTATATATTTTAAGCATATAAAAAAGTGTAAACAATCATAAATAGTTTTTTAAACGTCTAAAATACTTAAAAATCAATAAATTTATATTCATTGTTTTTATCTTTTTATCTGTATAATTTAAGTATATATAAAAGTATAACCAATCATAAATGGTCTTTTAAATCTCTAAAATAGTTAAAAATGCTTATATTTACATTAGAAATGGTTTTATTTATCTTATTTGCATATATTAAGTATATAAACAATCATAAATTATCTTTTAAATGTCTTAAATAGTTAAAAATGTATATATTTATATTAAAAATGTTTTTATTTATCTTAATTGTATATATTTAGTATAGAAAAAATATAAACAATCATAAATGGTCTTTTTAAATGTATAAATCTGTTAAAAATGTATATATTTATATTAAAACATTTTTTATTTTTGTTCTTATTTGTATATTTTAAGTATACAAAAAAGTGTTAACAATCATAAATTGTGTTTTAAACATCTAAAATCGATACAAATTAATTAATTAATTAAAAATGGTTTTATCTTTTTATTTTTATGATTTAAGTATAAAAAAAAGTATAAAACAATCATAAATTGGTCTTTTAAATGTCTAAAATTGTTAAAAATGTACATATTTATATTCAAAATGTTTTTAATGATCTTTTTATATGTATACCTTAAGTATATAAAAAAGTGTAAACATATAATATATGTATAGCATAAACGGTTTTTTAAATGTCTGAAATTCTTAGGAATCAATATGTGAAATAAAAATAATAAAAAATAACAATAAAAAAGGAATCAATATGTATGTATTTAAAAAAACTGTTATTTAAAAAGTATTTATTTTATTGCTATAATTTTTAAGCTTCTTAATGTATTTGTTTATAGAATTGAAATTCTTGTCCATATAAATATGGCCACCATGTTGTAGACTCAGCAGGTCGCTGGCCATGCTCTTTGACTCGACCCTTTTGGGAAAGACTCCTGTTTTTTTTTTACTCTGTAATCAGCCTTGGGGCAGATTGTGCCGAGTGGGCAAAAACTGATTGATGTCCCAGAGACGGATGCACAGTGCATGCTGGGATTTGGCCACAGCTGATCTCCTCGCTCTCTCCCTTCCTCGCCATAAGAATGATTGCGATTAAGTCTGTGGTTTGGTGTGCATTAACGTGTCAAATGCAGATGGAATACAGTTTAGAAACATGCTTTATTTTGATACTCTCCTAACATAAATCTCCCCAGAAATCCATTCTTATTGAATATTTGTCTGGAAGTAATGGGTTAAGGATCAGCCTTGACTGTTGACTGAATGATAAGTAGAACCTGCTGCTGCTGACCTTTACCTTCTGCTCCAACATCTCGACATTCACTCTTTATAAGTTTTCCTCTGATGAGGATAATTTGTTTGCATTGAGATTAGAAAGGCTGGTGGAGCTAAGATGAGATGGCAAGATTTAGAGGATTTGGCCAAGTAGCGGATACTAAGAAGATTCCGGATTAGTTTCCCCTCCCCGCTGCTGATTAGATGGGAAGAGGAAGGAGGAGTTTTTTTATTTTATTTTATTTTTTTAGTTTTTTTTTTGCTGCAACTGCTCGTCAGTCATTCTCATACCCACTCTGTGTCGTTGGGTCGTCTATAAAATAAAAGCAAGGGGGATTGGATTTAATGTTTATAGGAATGAGTCATGGGTTATCCAGGATGGTTGGTGTGAACTGGAACGTGTGGCCGGCCTGTTTATTACGCTAATAAATGCTCATAATGAATATTTAATGTCAGAACCAGTCGGAATATCTCACCAGTTTTCCCTCTACTTGTACCTCCCTGTTTCCCGACAAATTCTCTCAGGTTTCTGGCAGAGTTCCACGAGGATTTTTTCCCAGAGTCTGCATACGTGTCTGCGTCAGAAGCTCACTACAGCATGAAACAACCAAGACCGGCTTATTAAAGGAGACACGGACAGTTTGTTTTTTTCTTTCTCTAAGCAGAAGTTCCCGCTTCTATGTTCCTCTTCCTCTCTAACATGCGTTTTCTTTCTGCTGCCTTGCGGGTCCAGTTACTTCCATATCTCCCCAGCATGCAGGACTACAATCTTCTGCTTAGCGTTAACGTGGAATGCATGCTGATTTCTATCAGGGCCAATCTGCCGAACTTCGTGGTTCTTTTCTTAAATTCTGTTGCAGTTTTTCCTCTTTTTTTAAACTTTCCTGCCACGTGTAGGTTTTTGAAGATTGTCTCCTATTCGATTAAGAATGGAGGATAAAAAAAAAGTCCTGTGTGAAGAGGATTGTACGCCTGTTTGGAAGCTAAGAACTTTCCAAAGACTGACTTCCTCCGCTTCTCAGTGCTCCACAGTACCGCCTGACGGCAACAGAACTATCTGTTTCTATGCTTCCTTTGCTCCTCTGCAGTTTCTAACGTCGGCTCTTGAGTGTCGTCGTTCTCCCCTAGAAATTTCACCTACTTCGAATGTGTGGCTGTTTGTTGCAATTTGTTAAAAGCCAGTTTTATTTCACTTGACATCATTTGTGGTCTGTTTAAAGGAGCACTAACTCTGCCATAAGTCACTTCACTTAATTGAATATGATTAAACTAATTAGCAAAAAAAATTTAAGAACTATTTCTACATACTCGTCCATTCCGGATGTATTCTAAATGATCACCTCGTCCAAAATTCTTCCAGCGCATCTTTATGCTATTAATTCGTCTCTAAATGTAATTCAGCTGCTTTAAAAGGACCTCAGACTTGAAACGTTTATTTTGAAAAAGTTATAAAACATGTTGGGCAATTTTTTTTTTTTCATTTCCTTGGAGTGAGTTGTTTCCCTGTTGTTCTTTGTCAAAAAATAAAAGAATAAATAAATAAAAAAGTAACTATTTTTCCAAGTTGTCGCCTCTTCTATACATACATGCATGCATACATGGAGTGAGTATGGAATATGGAGTCCTAAGGGAGTCATCTTAGGTTCCCTTTATTTTTTTTTGCATGAAAATTACGATAGTGAGTTAGTTTAGCCTCATCTGAGATCCTGTTTGAATAAAATAAAACATTTTGGTTGGACTTTACAGAAATTGTCCCATTGCAACTTTTCAGGCTTAAATAAAGAAGGAACCTTAAAGGTATATTGGAGGATGTTCAATTCCAGGTGGATCATTAAAATAATTGGTCCTCCTAATTGTCAATCATACTGGCCGTCCTATATCCCTACGTCCTCGTCCCCATTTTTACTTGCAGTCGGTGAGTCTGACATGGTGGTAAAATTATAAAACTTTTAGAAAGTAAGCTTGTATGAGTGATGCAAACAGCAACTTTTAAACAGCGTGCAGTCTGCACAAGGAGAAATGGGCTCGTGCATGCTCTTGCACGTGTTTAATAGGCATTCCCTCTGGAGTGGGTACAGGGTTGTGCATGTGCAGTGGAGAATTGCGGGGTATTTCCAAAAATTCCTGAAAATCTTCCACTATACAGCTCTCTATGTAGCAGCGTAACGTCACCAAAACCAAGGGGAGCTTGGACCATGAACATAAAGCCTCTCTTATTAAGTCCTTAAACGGAGGTGGGTTTTTCCCCATATAATGTGGTGTGGATTGTTTTAGTTAGAAAAAGCAGAAAAGTGCAATAAGCTTGTGTTTGGTGCACATTTATTCAAACTTATATCCTTGTAATATGGTATCTCGAGTGAAATTTCCTACCTCAACCTAACAGGTTCTCCAATTCCTTCCCATTCAGGACATATTATGTTTCCACCATTTTCAGATGACGGCATCGATTTTCTTTTTTTAATCAAACTTTTCTCTAAACTTTGGCTAGGGGATACCATAACTTTAATTTATTTTCCTCTAAATATATAGGATGTAAAATTTGAGTGTGTGTAATGTGGGAAATTTTTTTATAAATGATGGCTTTATGAAAGTGGATTTCTTTCAATGGATGTACATCACAGGAACTGAATTTCTTTTCCAATATATCAACGGATTGGTTTTGATTGCTAATATGTTCACCACTTTTAACTTGAGATAAGGTGTATCTTTATGTGACACATATGAACAATAATCCAACATGCCGCAACCTCTTGATTAGTCAAAAAGAAGCATTTTGATACCATATTTCCAGCATTTTTCAAGTTTAGCAATAAAATCTAATACACATTTTGACAACTTTTAGTGACACACACATTTATCTTTAATGTTACTGTACCAGGTAATGGATATATGTTCATCTTAATGGGCGCAGATGAATATAATCCAAAGGTCAATACCAAGTAGAACTTAGATATCACTGAAATAAGATACGCACTCTTTATTTTTTAGCACCTTCCCTGCCTAAAGAGCTGCCCGCTTTTTTCCCCAACTCATTGCACCTGTGGGGAAACTGGCAAACATGTTCTTCTCGCATCAGAGGTCTAATTGGTTTTAGTGGTGAACCTTAATTGCATTTTGGATCAGCCTTCTTGTAATGAACCGCGTATCAGTGCAACCCAAGACGGCGCCCTCCCACGTGCTGCTATCGCATAGCCACAGGAGCCGCAAGTGCAATTCTCTGCATGCATCTTGGATCGATTTCCTAGCCCTGGTTATCACTATCAGGTTACCGCCTAATTTAATTTTTGTGGGGCAAAAATGGAATTTAATGAGATGTGAGCCGTTGGCTCTCGAGTGTTTGCCCCTACGGTCCTCAGCAGCGGTTTCCTGTTTTTCTGTCCCGCTCTCTCTTCTTCTTTAGTCTGAGTGGTTCATCCTTTGAATTCATATCATAGTCTCATCTCTCAAATGTTCATTCTTATTGGTTCTTTGTGGTTGTTTAGCCTTTCTCTCTTGGCTGATCACTAAAAGTATATCCCGACTCATCCACAGGCTCATGGCTCTACATTTCCCAATGAGCTCTCTCAATGTCCCGACCTCAAGTTTATGTCCCTTGTTTCTAGCTGGTTTTGTCTCGCTCTTTCCGTCATGGATTCCAAACACAGATTTTTCGAGGAGTGGGTAGACACCAGCTCCTCTTTCTCCTCCGACTCATCCTGGACATCGTTTGACCTCAGCACTGACCTCACATCAATCAGCTCTGACATATCTGCGACGGCTCCTGACAGACCTCTCGAAGACCGGCTGCCATCGAAGTGCCGACCACTTGAAACCAAAAGGCGGACCTTGAAAGCCGAATGGAGGGAGACGTCGTTTCTCAACGAGTAAGTGAAAAAAGGGATCCTCCAAATGAGCTTAAAAGATGAGGCTTTTTGACTTCTAGTAATGTTTAAACTTAGATCAGTGGGGTGCTGTAAATATACCAATGAGCTTGGCTGGATGAAGATCTAATGCTGGTGGAATTGGGTGAAGTTTCCAGCTCATTTTATGATAATCTGTTCCATCAGACTTTAATCACAAGAGCTTCTATAATGGCAATGTGATTCCCTGTAGCGGGACGGCGAGAGCGGACAAAACAAAGCCCCGCATTAGTTTAGATTGAGGCTATAAATCACAGCTCCTCCTAGAAAGTCCACAGAGAATGTCTGGGAAAACTAAGGATATTATTCACATGCTTTTAGCTCTTCTTTCTCATTTCCTTTTATTTTGCAACCCACCATCAAGCTACAAGAATCTGGTAGGTGGTTTACATTTCTAAGAAAAGTTTACATCAGGGCAGAGGAATTGCTTGCCTCAGGTAATATTCAGTCCAACCAGAGACGTACTTTCAATGTTTGAAATTGTTCTAAGATTCTTTTGAATAAACAAACTCTGATAATTTAAGTGCCTCATGTTTGATACATGAATTTTATAGGCCTCTAAATCATCAATGGGGTATTTTCATTCTTAAAAACCCATAATAAAACAATCAAATATAGTGAATGGAAAATCTGCAATAAATTTCCTAATGTATCACAAATTATACAGATAATTATTTGGATAAGCCTTTTCAAAATAGTTTTTCATTTGTCAGACTGTTCAATTCTACCTTGAAAATATTGGCATTTTCTGACACTTCTTATTTCATGGTTTAGGCCTTAGAAGCCTTTATTGATTACAATTTGTAATAACTGAATTGAAATACAATAAAGTTTTTATGTGAGAAGATGTGGTAGCCTGAGGAATGAGATAGTTTTCTATATTCCAGTGCAATTTTCAATCCAAAGTGCAATAGCTAGATTTTATTGGTAATTTCAAGCGAAACTTCCATGAATTGGAAATTGATTAAGGGTTTCAAACTCAGTTTAATTGAATTCATCTTCATCAGAATGTTTCATAATGTCTCACATCTGTTGGAAAGAAAGAAAATACTTTGAAGAAGCTATCTTTTTCATAAATAAATAAAACATTTGTTTGCTACTGACTCTTTCCAATTATATAGAATAAACTGATTTCAGCTGAAATAAGATGGACAGGAATTTGTAACCAGTAGAGACAATGAAATAATAAATTAATAATGAGGTAAGGTGTTAATAGCTGATTAGGCCAATAAACATAAATAAATAGGAAATAATTTCTAAGTATTAAGTGCTAAATAAAATGGGAATGGACTCCAACTTACGGTAAGTCACTGTTGTCTACCTGATTAAGCTACGTTTTTTTTTTAATAGCTTCTATTCTCAGAAACCTAAAGACGGCGTCTGATGGATAACATCCTCATGACTCATGGCATTTCAGTAAGTTAGGATTGTTTGTCTTAACGGAAAAATACAGTTTCTGGATGCAAGTGTTATGAGTAGCTGCTGAGTTATCAAGCAGTTGAATACCATAGTGAGTATATTTTTTGTGTGCATTGAGGCAGACATTTGGGGAAACTTTAAAGTCAAAGCAGTTAGATTTCTTCCTTGCTTTTCATTATCATTTTTATTGTGCTTGAAAGCAAAGATAAAACACATTGTAAGTCAAACAGAGCAAAACTTTGGAACTGTTTTGTCAGCACGGCATAATATCACATAGATTAGTTGCTATTTGTGAAAAAGTCGTTTTAACTCAGCATTGGTTGTAACCAAGTTTATTAGTCATTGCTTGTGAATTCCAATAGAGAATGTAATGAATTAATTGTTTAAGCAAAACACGGATCTATGACAACTGGGAATTAGCCATGCATTGCATCACTTGTGTCTTAGACTTCAGAGTAAGGACAGAGATATGAATAATGAAGATACAGTGGCTTTAAACTGTATAAATACTCCTTAAACCTTTTCATATTTTGACTCATTACAAAAAAAATAAATAAAAAAATAAACCTTCTTTATTGGATTCATATGTGGAAGACAACACAAAGTGGTATGAGATTTGGAAATAAAATTATACATGATTTCTTGGTTGTTGTTTTACAAATAAAAACTGAAAGGTGTGATGTGCAGAAGGATGTATCCCCTTTTTTCTGAGTGCAATCAATGGCCATCAGAAATTGATGATTGCTGATGACTTAAAAGTCTATTTGTGTTTTATCTAGTCCCCTTGAATATTCCGTTTCTCCTAGATGGCCTGAGAGGACGGTAAAGAGAATATTGGAAAGCAAATATTACCATGAAGTCCAACGAACAGGGATAAAACTGTTGAGAATTTTAAAGCAGGCTTAGGCTATAAACAGATTTCAAAGCTTTGAATATCTCAAAGAGCACTGTTCAGTCCATTATGTTGAAATGGAGAGTACGGCTGAAATGTAAACTTACCAAGGCAAG